AGCCTCATATCAGTGAAATAGGAACCTTAAAATAGGAGCTGGAGGTGTAGTTTTAATCACTTTTACTTTGTGGTTTTCTTTCTCTCCTGTCAATTAGTTGGATACGGTTCCCCCCTGGTGCCTCATCTAAGTGGCTATTATTCATGTGTAAAGTCAGATGGTAGGTAATTGGCAGGTGATGCAACCTATGGAGCTGGGCGTTATATCGGCTGCCAAACTGAGCCTGATTCTGTCATCACCCATCATCTGTGAGTACATGGCCTTTCAGCAGGGGTTCTCTAAATAACATTCAGGACAATGAACTCAACTGTGGCCTGGACTGCTGCACCCGGCTGGGTCCACTAACTCAGCACGGACCAGGGATTCAAATCTGCGAACTTCTAGTATAGTATGGCCTAGTGATACACTGAGCATTCTTTACTTTGACGTTGTATTTGTGACAACAAAATCTCCTTGTGGCACCAACTCATGCTGAGGACTTGTCGCAGAACACCTATAGATGGCAGAAGTGTGTAGAAGAGGAATAAAAGTGGGTGCTATTAGAAAAGAGAAGGGAGTTTCTCTCTCTCGGTGTCCTGGCCGACAATCCCCAGATAAAATTGGTCACTCACTCCATGGCTGTTTGTGGGACGTTGCTGTATGTCTATTGGCTGCCGTGTTCACACATAAAACACACATACAGTCATACCACTTCACGGTATATCTTGTGAAGCACACTTTGTGATGTCTTGACAATTTGCTAAGGTGCTATATTGAATGCTAGTACAGTAGCTTAGAGTGAATCGCTGGGTGAAAATAATTACGTCCGCAAAGATTCATTACGAAACACAGATATGGCCCAAGAGAAAAAATAGTCAATCAAAGATTCCACTTGATACAAAAAGAACCTGCTCTGTTGTCTTCACTCTTCTGATGTTGGTGAGATATTGTATTTTATAAAACAGCCTCTAACTAGATTATTACGTCCACTTCTATACACTCCAAGCCCTTTCAATTGTGTGTAAGTACTTATGATCCGTAATCAGTTCATTTACATCAATTCAAAGCAATCTCTACCATGGTTAGTTTTACCACGTAATGCTTGTTTATGAACAAACACAAATCATTTTTTTTTGCCCGCTACTTTTCTGCCTTTGCCAGCTCTCGATTGCCCAGTCAGCCCTGTGAAGAGCTTTCAGGCGACCTCCCGATGTGGAAGGCGCTATAGAAATGTAACTTTTTGTTCTTTCGGGATTCACGATTAAAAGATTATCAATTTTTTGATAATCGCATTTAATCCACTTTCGAATGATCCAAGTTAGACCCCATTGTTGTCATTTGTGTACCTCGCAGTAACATTTAAGGTTCTTCATCTTAACTTTGAATGTTGCACTGGTATCTACAGCAACACTTCAGCATTTGGTAATAATGGTAACTGCGTCCTATGATACGTATGTTCCTACATGATTCACTGTAGTCAGTTACGTAATGGATACATAGTGGACACGTCATTTGGCTCTCTCAATGGTTGCTATCGACAGATTTTTCATCAATCAATCAATTCACATCAGTCTATTGTTTGAAATGAAAGTGACACCGGAGAAAACTCCCTTCTCTTTTCATTCCTTTAACAGCTGAATTCTGTTAAGTTAATGTCACAGATCACCATGAAACAGATCTGACCTGGCCAAAACTAAAATGGCTCAGATATTCTTCAGTTATAGAAGTCAACAGGATCTGACTTTATTGATCCTTCGACCTTGTTTTATGATATCAACATTAACCACCTCAGCTGTCGTCATTCTTTGTTTTCTTATCAAGTTAATACTGAAATAGGAAACTGATAACAGCACAAGTACTCACTGTGTATCAGTTCAATGAAACTGAACATAAACAGACCACAAAACATACCTCTTTGACTGCACTTTTGGTCATTGTTGCTCTTCCTCATCCTCCACTTGGCTCCCACCCCCTGCTCGGGTACCCAGCCATAGAAACACAGAAACAGGAGTAGGCCATTCAGTCCTTCAAGCCTGTTCCACCATTTTATGAGATCACTAGTTGTACCTGTTGCACCTACACTTGCAACCAAAGAATCCGATATGGAATGTAGATCAACACACAGACAGACACACATTTCATCTTACTATACTCATCTGGGAGGACTCCTGTGGGAAGACTCCTTTTGGGAGGACTCAGTGAGAGGACTCAACGCTTTAAAAATGCAATTTTGTTGCTGTTACCACGTCTTAGCTTCGTCTGTGTTTTTTATTTTGTTCCCGCCGCTTGGTTACGTGTATGCTCTGTGATGCCACAGCACCACTTTGACTTGGCGGCAAAAAACGCAAAACTGAAAATAACTCATGAATATGCCCATGTCACTCCCAGATACAAGAGCTTTCTAAAGAGGTATAAATCATGTCTCTACATCAATTGATTATTGAGAGCCTTCTTGAAGTGCAGACAGACATTGTTGTTTTATTAGTATAGATTATTATTAGTATAGAAGATAGCTGATCTGTACCTCAACTCCAATTACCCACCATTGCCCCATATCCCTTGATACCCTTACCTAACAAATATCTATCCACCTCAGTTTTGAAAATATGAATGGATCCAACATTATTGACATTGTCAGGCGCTTTAAGACATCCTCTCAATATAAAAGACACTCTGCTCAATAAGTGTAAGTTGTATTGTAATGGTCTTTTCTGGCCCTTTTCATTAATGGGTTGTTCACCATAGGGCTGGGAAATAACTGCACCATTGCTTCCAAACACAGTTACTACATGTGTCAGCAATTCCCTGGAAAGTGCTTAGAGATATTTCAATGCATTTAAAATTATTACCAAAGTTCAGGCAACACACCCAAAAATTGCTTGAACCTTTTATTGAACTGTTTGCGTGAGAAATGGAGAGGTTGGAGTGACTGCAATGGAATTAACTTATCTAAATGTTCAAAGAACATCATAAAGTTGCCAAATTCAAAGAGAGGCTGAGTACTTTTGCTGGTCACTCTGGTCAATGCACCCTGTGTCACTGCTACATAACGATTGGTTTGCTGAGACAGATCATGATGGAAACATTTATTGTGTATTCGTTAATGATTGATTAATATCGATCGCAATTTGTTATGGACAAAACTTGTCTTTTGTGCAAATGACTGCTGAGTTTACCTATTAATAGTCATTGAACCTGACAGTGATTATCTGGAAAGAGCTTTGCAATGTTTCAACAGTGCCTTTAATACCTTGGTTTAACATGTCATCCGAAGCATTCCTCCAGACCTTCACCCCACCTTACTCTACCACCTCCTACAACCCTACCATTTGGGCGTTTCCTTCACTCAGCTAACAGCGATCTGTTGCATGTCCCCTGCCTGGTCCACATCACCATCAGTGGGGCAGCTTGCAGCCATTCTGCCTCTGCTCCGGAACTACATCTCAGCCCCACCACCCTTAATGCGTTTAAAGTCCACCTTAAGACCGATCACTGTGGCTGTATTTTCGGTCACTCTTTCACCCTCCTCAGATCTCCCCGAGATGTGGGAAGCGCATTCAGACATCCCCCTGACGTGAAGGGTGCAGTATAACTGTAAATTGTTGTTGTTGAGAGAGGTGGGACAATCACCAGTCAAGGTGTTGGAGCACGTCATACAGATCACATAAAAATTATTGGGCGATTGCACATATAAGATACGAAATTTGGGCAAGGGCTGAGATGACTCAACAGGGCCCAGATAATGCAAAAACAAATGAGGGGGCGGAGAAGGGAAATTAATGCAGTCAGGGACCTTGTTAACATTAATGAAGGTAGGTGGGGGTCTCCTTGCAGGTGAACTGGCTCCAAGGTGACAGGTTTTGCAACGGAATGTCAAAATCGAGGCCACCCTCTATGGCGGTCTCTAGTCTAGTGGGTCTGCAGTATTCCAGGGGCCCTCACTGCTGATGACAGCACAGCCCGGCCTGGCTCATCGGCAGGACCTGGAAGGGCAGACCAGTCACTGGGGACAGGGATTCCTCCCACTCAGCCCAGCCCCCCCCCCCCCCGTTAACCCTGCAAGCCAATGCCCTAACGGGTGAGGTGGTCCTAATAATAATAATCCTTGCATTTGATATAGCGCTTTTCACGTCGGGAGGACGTCCCAAAGCGCTTCACAGAACACACTGTAAAGTGAATTGACTGTATATTTGTGGGCGAACGCGGCAGCCAATTGCGCACAGCAATGTCCCACAAACAGTCGTAGATTGAAAATGACCAATTTTTAATTATTGTTTTTGGTTTTTTGGAGGGATTATTATTAGGCGTGTGGAGTACCTAGGTGGACCAGCAGCGGGAAAGCTTGCCGGACAGCGCTCTCAGAAGCAAGCTATGGCGGTTTTAGCTGGTTAGACTCCAGCAGTTTGCCCCAACTCACGCTCTGGAGTGCCCGAGGTTTGGTTTTTGCCAAACCTGCGCCGGATATTTCAGTGTCGGTGAGAAGATGATAATCGATAAACCCCTACCATTTGATCTCGCGCCCTATCGCGACCGGCCGCGCGTCCCCCCCCCCCGAACACTCGAGGGGGTTGAGCGGCCAAAACTTTTGGCCACTCTGGCTCGCTCGCTCGGTCGGACGGTCGGTCGATCGGTCGGGATGGATGGATGGATGGATCCACTCAAGCCCTCGTGACCGTGGGTTTTGCGCGGGCTCGCGCGCGCGTTGTGCGCCAGACAGAAAAAGCAGGGCTGGAGCAACCCCCCCACCCCCCACCCCCACACAAAAAAAAAGAAACCAGACAGCGACCAAAAGAAAAAAAAAGAGAGAGACATGAAATGAGATGCAACAGGAGGAGGAGGACCCACAGGGTTGGGGTTGGGAGGAACTTGGCAGCGTCACGTTATGCTGATGTCTTGAGGGCGAGTGGAGTGGCCCCAGTTGTGGAATGTGAGAGAGGGCGGAGGTGAGCGAGTGGACGAGGCTCACACCTGGTGCACAGAGACACTCACCCACACACCAACCCACACACCAACCCACACACAGACAGACACAGAGAGAGAGAGAGTAGAGAGAGAGAGAGAGAGAGATGGAGACGCGCTATCTGAGTCTGGCCGAGGTGGCCCGACACCGCACAGCCGAGGACTGTTGGGTCGTCCACGACCGAAGGGTCTACGACGTGTCGGGCTTCGTCCAGAGGCACCCGGGCGGCGAGCAGATGATTGTCCTGAGGGCGGGGGGGGACGTCGGCCGAGTGATGGAGGGACCCCCGCACCGGCACAGCCCCAACGCCCACCGCTGGCTCCAGCAGTACTACATCGGGGACCTGGAGCGAGAGGGAGAGGGAGAGGGGACTCGACCCCCTCAACAAGAGCAGGTCGGTCGGTTGTTGGTCGGTCGGTTGTTGGTTGGTCGGTCGGTTGGTCAAAGCTTCTCTCCCTCTCTCTCTCTCTCTCTTCTTCTCCTAACTTTGTTGGTGTAGAGTTGACTGGAATTGGGAGGGGAAGGAAGTCCAGGTGGTGGGGGGGGGGGGTTGGTTGGTGGGGTTGGGGGGGGGTGGTGGGGTTGGGGGGGGGAGGGGGTGGTGGGTTGGTTAGGGGGGAAGGGGTTGGGGGGGGGAGAAGGGGGGAGAGGTTTTCACTGTGTTAAGTTGTTAACATCAGGTGGATTTGGTCAGTGACCCAAACTGAAAAGTTTCTTTCTTTCCTTATTTCTTTCTTTTCTTTCTTTCTTTCTTTGCTTTGGGTTTTTATTATTTGGTTTATGGCTTTGCAAAGCCTTTCTATTTGTTTGTTTGTTTGTTTGTTTGTCCATTTCAGATGCACCTATTTGGGAAATAACAATAATAATGATGAAATGTGAGGATGTGGGTTTTTGCATATCTACATATAGACATATAGACATATATACATATATATATATATATATAAAAGCTCAAATAGGAGCAGTGGGATCTCTCAGAGTTAACAGTTTCTGGCATTTCTGCAGCAGAACACAAACGAAACTGAAATAACAAAACTTCTCCCTCTCCCCCTTCACTGGTTAAAAGAGTCGAAAAGGAAATGATTCTGTGTCTCTCTGACAGCACCAGTGGGGCTCGAGGTCGGGTCTCTTTCAGTGACTGATGTTCCTTTCAGAGAAGGAGAGAGAGAGAGAGAGTGAGAGGGAGACTCCAGGAGGGCAGTGCAATCAATGTTGGGGAGAACAGGTGCAGCAAAAAAAAATGTGTCTCGTTTTTTTGTGGAGAAGGGCGTTAACCTCTTGAAACGAGCTCAACAGGTTTTACAGAGACCAAAACCCCTCTCACCTGTACTTTTCCATTCTCCCTTCCCCTGACTCCTGTGTGTGTGTGTGTGTGTGTGTCTATGTGTGTGTTAGTTAGTTTCTGCCACTTGTTTTAAAATGATGCCTTCCCCCTCCCTCCCCCCCCCCCCCCACCAACCCCTTTAAAAACTGTCTGCAAAATCATGTTCGAAGCTCAAACTTAAAGAAAGTGGTGCGTCGAGAAGGAATATCTCCTGTCCACACTCCCCACGGGGTGGGGGGGGGGGGGGGAAACAATCAGACCGTCGCCTGCGCCGCAGGTTTTCGCAGCTGTGTGTCTTTTGGAATAGGTTTGCCGTCGGTTGTTTGGTCCGTTGTTGCAGAGTCGCGATCGCTCCCGTCCACGCGTTTCAGTTTTTGTATGAAGTCAGAGTTGAGTGAAGTGCTACATCGCCACTCCATTGCTCTGTGCAGTGTCTAGTGCTGATCTGGTGGATTTCCATTCACTTTACAGTATATCCTGTGAAGCTCTTTGAGATGACGTGATGAGGTGCTGCATCAAATGCAAGGAATATTATATATCGAAAGCATGATGGTCGGTTAAATATCCAGTCACAATTTCAATCATTGAGTTTAAGCCTCGTCTCCCCAACCCCTCACACACACACTTTCCACCTCCCATCAGGTTTCAAACCGATTCCTTTCTTCCTATGCATATTCCGAAGAACCCACCAGCCTGGGGATTTCTGTAGGTGGATCAGAATATAATGCATTGTAAATGTTCATGAACCCATAGACTACCAGAATTCCTATCTGATCGCCCTCTGGAGTGTACGCACATTCATGAAAGGGGCTGTGTTCAATGCAGGTTTGCCGCTAGGACACACCTTGAAGGTAATTGAAACTATCTTTAGTTTTAAGTAACAACTGGAAAGAAAGAAGTTGCTTTTTTTTTTATAGCACTTTATTGCATTGAAAACACTCGATCCACTTTACAAAATGTAACAGCAGTTTTTCTTTGTAGTCAACCACGACTCACAGTTTGCACACAGGGCAAGGTCCCCTAGTTATCCAGTTATGATCAATAAACACGCACATTTAATATGGTGTCTTATCATGCCAAAACCTCTCCAAGTGTATCACACAGTGAGTTATTTTATTACAATGTCGCTGCAGTTGCCAATTTTTTGTGTGTGCGTGAGTGGTGGTGTTTGGGAGGGGGTGAGGGTGTCATTCGGGTGTGTCCTCGGCTCTGTCCTTGGTCCCCTCCTCTTCACCCTCTACATGCTCCCCCCTTGGTGACATAATCCGCAGACATGGGGTAAATTTCCACATGTATGCGGATGACTCCCAACTCTTATCTCTCTGCCTCCACCCTGAACTCCAGGACTACTGGCGTCCTGACCGGCATCAAGTCCTGGACGAGTGACAACTTTCTCCAGCTGAACGTTAGTAAGACCAAGGCCAGTCGCCTCGGGCACTGGCACCATCAGCCTCCACGGCTGCACACTCAACCTCACTAAGCCGGTCAGGAACCCGGGTGTCTTGTTTGACCCTGAATTGTCCTTTCTCCCCCACATCCGCGCCATGACTGGCACTGCCTACCACCACTCTGGAACATTGCCAGACTCCTCCACTGACTCACCCCTCAGGCTGCCGAAACCTTCACCCACACATTCGTCACCTCAAGGCTCGGTTACGGAAACTCTCTCCTCATCGGCCTTCCCAACTCTTCCCTTCACAAGCTGCAGATTATCCAAAACTCTGCAGCTCATGTACTCTTGCACACCAGGCTCCGTGACCCCATCACTCCCACCCTCACCCGACTCCACTGGCTCCCCATCCCTCAGAGGATCGAGTTCAAGATCATCGTCCTCACTTTCAAGGCCATCCATGGCCTTGCCCCTTCCTACCTCTCTGACCTGCTGATTCCCTACCAACCTGCCCACTCCCTCCATTCAGCAGGCTCCATATCTCCCACCCGACCCCCCCCCCCCCCCCCACCACCATCGCTGGCCGGGCTTTCAGTCTCTCTGCCCCCACACTCTGGAACTCCATCCCACAGTTCCTTGCCTCCTTCAAGGCCAGTCTCATTCCAAATCTAATGAGATTTCCATGCATCCCGCCTACACATGGAAATCCCAGCGATAGATTGTTAGAGAGGATTGCGCACTCTCTCCCTGGAGAGACATACCTGCTTACCTCATTCCAGAAAGTATCAGATGCAGGTTGGCAAGAACCAAGGCTTGGGGACGCCAGATTGTGGGTTGGGGGAACTGCTGGAGTCAAACCAGCTAAAACCGCGTAGCTTTATTTATGTATTTATTTATTAATTAATTATGGTTGCCAATCTGTGACAGGGCAGTGCCCACCAACAGCAATGAGAAGCGCAGACACAATCACTTGCTTTGTGAGTGTGGATTTTTTTTCAAATAAAGGTCATCTGGTTCGGGCTCTTGTAACTATATATGGTGAGCAACATGCAAACGTTGCTAACTATAGTAGTACCTAGTGTATTGGGCAGGTAACCTGGACACCCTTGCCTGAAGGGCAACCAGATAGTGTTTATTATCACTGCTGCCTCCTTACTGTTGCTCTGTTTTATGCATTTATGATGAAGTAAATACAATCTATGCGTTTTAAGCTGGTTAGACTCCAGCAGTTAGACTCTGAGATCCTCAAGCCTTGGCTCTTGCCAATCTGCGCCTAATACTTTCTGGAATTAGGTGAACTGTGTTCATCCCTTCAGGGAGAGAGCGCGGATTCCATTCCAACAATCTACCTCTGGAAGCTCCGTGTGTAGGTGGGATGCATGGAATTCTCAGCTTGGTTTGGATACTCTGAAGCACGGTGATGGGTTTCCGCATGTGTCAGAAACCCGGCTGAGCAATAAAAAACATTTTAAATATGTGATATTTCGCTACTTCCTCGGTAGATTGTGGTAATCGCGAAGAGTGTTAGGCTAGATCAAAACCTTCCTTTTTTTCTCTCTCTCTCTATTCTTATCTCTCTATCTAGCCCCTCTCTCTTTCTCTCCGTCCCTCTTGGTCTCTTCTTATCTCTTTTCCTTCTTGCTCTCCCTCTCCTCAGTTGAAGGGAGCATGATGAAATGGACATTAGGTGTTATCTGAAGTTGGTCCAGCTGAATTATTAGATGCAGCCTCCTAATGTGAAAGGCGCAATATTAATGTAAAAATGTATTTTGCAATAAGCAAGCTGATGCAGTCAATTTAGTTTCCTTAATGCAATGAATCACAGTTGAGTAACGTGGAAAGCAACTCCTCCCTAGGTGTTTCCCTTTCCCACCCCCACCCGTGAGTGAATTCCCTTACATTACGACTCAACTGGAGTCCTGTAGCTCAGTGGTTAGAGCACTCGCTTTGCAAGCGAGAGACCTGAGTTCAATTCCAGGCAGAGGGCGAAACCTTGGGCAAGTTTCCTTACTCCACACAGAGCCTAATAATAATCCCTCCAAAACCAAAAACAATAATAAATTGGTCATTTTCAATCCACGACTGTTTGTGGGACATTGCTGTGCGCAATTGGCTGCCGCGTTCGCCCACAAATATACAGTCAAATTCACTTTACAGTGTGTTCTGTGAAGCGCTTTGGGACGTCCTCCCGACGTGAAAAGCGCGATATCAAACGCAAGGATTATTATTATTATTAACTCACCTGTCAATCCCAATTACCCTCTGAACCAAACACTCATCCTTGACAAGTGACTGGATTTCACAAGGCAATGCACTTAATCACCAGGGAAAGTAAGCGTCGGGGACACAGAGTCGCTGAGGAAACACTACAACGATGTATTGAATATGTATACAGTTTGGGTTCATCATACACTGTCTTGTGTATAGCTCCGGGATTAGCTCCTGTGCTGGTATCCACTGAAGCTTTTCACATTGTTCTATTCACGGGTGTTGGCTTTGCTTTCAATCGTTCCGTTTCTGAGGAGAACGGAGTCATTCAGTTCTCGTCTATAATGTTCCCGAGTGGTTGCTCTGCCTCCTGTACTCGTGAGCCCTTCCTACCTTTCCCCTCGCCTCTCTCACAGGTGCTCTTTGCAGATGCACGCTGCTTGCATCAGGCTTTTTTTTAAAAGAAATGGTG